AACGAGGTGGGTCGTCCCGAGGAATTGCTGGAAGTAAGTGTGCGAATACTTACACATTGTTTGAAATAAGAAACAGAAAACAATTGGTATTCAAGATGATGGTAGTTTTTGTGTGACAATGTGAGCATTATGATTGGACTCGAGAGATACCAATCCTAGTTTCCTAGTTTCCCTTAATCAAATGAGAAAAACGCTTTTCAATTTTTATTTTTCCATCTTGTCCATCTTATTTATCCCATCTTTATTCTTCGTCTTCTTCTTCTTCTTCTTTTTCTATATTATAAAGCTAACCTTGAACTATGACTATTACTATATGAATTTTGATTACTTGTACTCTGCTTATGAGATTCAGTACCTGAAATTCAGTACCTGAAATTCGGTGGATTAACAAAGCTGTAAGAAGCTACTACTTAGCAGAAGACGGAGAGAATATTGGAAATTCGCTCCAAACGGACAATGCTGCTTAATTTGCAGAGATACAAGAGCATGAACACGCGGGTGGAGGACAAATCCGGCGAGGATCTGGTCAACATAATCAGCGAGAACGTGGGTAGGATGCTACGCCGGAAAATGGACGCGGTTACCTGTATCCGAATGAAAGCTGAACAGGAGGCCGAGGAATGGGATCCGTCCTCTATGGATGGTAATTTCACCTATGTTCCCAGCAATCTCAATTACAACATTAAAAAGGAGAACAGCAGCGTGTACAGGTGAGTTGCGTCGGAGACGCGACGCGAGCAGAAATTGATGCAGGAACCTCGAAGAGAAAAACCCAAGTCGAGGCTTTGAAAGGATTTGACAAATGTCCAATCTACAATTGATGACGATAATATCGATCATTTTTTTCATCGATAAGCTTTTTGTGTCGAAAATATTTCGCGGTCTCGTTCTTCATTCCTGATGATGACATTAGAACCGACTGAGAAAGATCTCGGATTCATCTTCAAAGTTACATTCGATGAGTTATTCAATCTTGCTTGTCTCAACATCATTGAACTTTCAAATTGAACTAATCAAGTCAGGGGAGAAATTCCTCCCTTGAAAATCAAAGTCGGAACAAGTCGGAAATCGGAATCACGGATATCTTGAGTCTTCCCTCGATTCCAGGGAAATTGAACTAACCGCGGATTCGCATTTCTACAATATTCCGGTGAATACCAGCTACTCGTCGGTCCACATACCCACCAACGTGTTTGACCAGGCGCCAAAGGTGATGGAGGATATAATGAGGAGCGAGCCGTTGGACGATGTATTCCGTCAAAACTATGACTCGGATCCAGCATTGTCTTGGCAATATTTTGGCTCGGTCACTGGTATGCTAAGACATTATCCCGCTATGGAATGGCGCACGAGCACGATCGACCACGACGAAGATCCGCCTGCCGATCTGTACGATTGTCGACTTCGCAGTTGGTTTATCGAGGCAGCCACATGTAGCAAGGATATAGTTATCCTGATGGACACCAGCGGTAGTATGACGGGCATGGGAAAAACGATCGGTACGTGAAATAGTATGTTCCTGAGGAACATTGAGGCGTTGTACAAAATGTCCTAAAGACACTTCCCAGACGTGTCGTGTTTCATTTTTGTTCCATACAATTTTTCGAGAAAATTGTTTATTACGTACTGCGGATACAATCGTTCTCAATCCCGCGATTAGTCTCGCCGTTTTCTCAAGCGAATTAACAACTGTGTTGCCGACAGCGAAGACAACGGTCAGCTCGATCCTGGATACTTTGTCGAACAACGACTTTGTCACGCTGTTAAAGTACAGCAACGATACGAGCGACATGGTGCCGTGCTTCAAGGACATGCTGATTCAAGCCACCCCGGAGAATCTTGAGACGTTTAAAAAGTCTATGGACAACGTGAAACCGGAAGGCATCGCCAATCTCACGACGGCCTTCACCGCGGCATTCAGCCTGCTTAAAACCTACAGAGAGATACGCGGATATGACGCGGATGTGGATGCCGACACGCCGTACAATCAGCTCATCATGCTTGTTACAGACGGCGTTCCCGGAAATCTGACAGAGGTATGTGACGCGATGCTCCCGATAGTTCCGATAGAACGAAAACCTGCCCTGTTGGCCCCTGAGCCCTGGAGCAGCTTTGCTCACACTTCACATTTTCACGACGAGACCTCGGAGACGGAGACTTCAGACTCTAACTCTCATTAGCTCGACAGTGCCTCGATAGGACAGGTGATAAAGTGATTTGTCTGTTGTATCTTTCCTCATTATGAACAACTTGTAATACGCGAGTAATCGGTATGTCACACATCATACGCGTGAACGATGTGTATTGAGACGTTTCGTGAGAGAGAGAGGGAGAGAGAGAGAGACTAAAACTGCCGGAGATGCAATTCTCCTTTTCTTCTCCTGCCAATGCATGGCACAAACGCGAAACAAAAGTGCTCCGAGAGACGCGTCGTGTTACGCTATATCTATTTATTCGCATACGCCAAGAGAGTGGAATGAGATACAAGTCGACGTGAATTGTGACGTTCAATAACATTCGTCCGCCTAGCCGTAACGAAAACCGTGGTGAAATCGAGCGAGACGAATTCGAGCGATACATTAGAGAGCGGATGGATTCAACGAGAGAATTAGCATTTCCATTCCGTCGGTCCATTTTTTCATTTTTTCATCGCGCGTTTCTTATGCGTTCTTCTTTGTGTGTTTATTGTCTATTTATTATAATTGCGTATTCTTGAAGGGGAGACTTAGCAAGAATTAATTACGTACATCAGACACGTGTACAAAACGCGTGCCGCGAACACCATGGCTAAACCTAACGACGTTGCTAATCGACGAAACTTGTCGATCATCTCGACGATCGCGTACGATTGGAAAATTGGAGGCGATGAACTTTTGATGAGGTCATTCATACACACACGATTCTATGGTATTCGTCCGCTTGCTTTTTTGCATTTACACGGGCAAAGGTGATCCAATAAGATTACGAGAGCATCTCTGCTCTCTCGAGTAACGTGCCATGACACTTATGATATCCTATGCATCGCAATTGCGATTTTTCTTTCTCAAGAGAAAATTATACAACGTGCTCTATATCAATATATATCGACACGAGGGTAGGTCGACTTCTTTTTTATTTACGTATATCTATATCACGGTTTATCATATTCACCGGTCTTTTTACCCGAGGAACACGCAATGAAACACGCGCACTTTAGTTATGACGTGTAATTGAACTTTATGTGTGCGCATTCCACAGAGAGGCCGTTGCTCTCTCTCTCTCTCTCTCTCTCTCTCTCTCTCTCTCTCTCTCATTCTTACTCTCTCTCGCGTTCGTTACTCTTCTCTTCGCGAAGAGAACGAAGACGACCAACAAGTGAGTCTTTTCTTTCAAGGATAATAATTGCGCACCAAGCTGACGGGAGGTATTCGACGGTGCGGAAGGTTTTGTTCGTTGCACCGTTGTTGCTGCAAAATTTCCTATCTTTTAGTCCGCACTTTGAAACCGGCGGGAACGATTATCGGTGCGTGCAGTTGATTGGAAGAACCGTAACGTTCGTTCCAGCGATAAAAAACATCGCAAGAAGGCACGCCGGCACGGTTTTCTCGTGTCTTGACGTTCGAAAGAGACCCAAACTTCCGAACTTAATTTATGAGTTTCTTTCTGGCAGCAAAAAACGTCTCCGTGAATTGTATTCTTATACCGTTTTATCTACACAAAGATACAAAAGACGATATCTCGGAAGATCTCGGAGCAAGCTCGGAATATGAGCTTGCCCAAGTGTTGCCCAATTGGCTTGACTGTTAATTCTGATCCGTGAATCGAAAAATTTACTTGCCAAAGACTCGAGGGACTTCCAATTTGAGAATGATGAAATGCAGTTGAATTGGTTGAACAACGGAGCGAGATACCTACGTTTTATTTACCTTCTAGCCCTCAGAGCGCCTTCAAAACAGCCGGATGTTTTCATGCGGGCAATTGAATGAAAGGGAGAAAAGAGAGGAAATTATGCAAAGACTTTTTCTTCTCTTTGCGGACGTGCGGAATTGCGGTGGTAATCTCTTCTTCTCCCGCAGGTGTTCCAAAAGTGGAACTGGAGAGAGAACAGCACTCACATACCGGTGCGCGTGTTCACATATCTTCTGGGTCGCGAGGTAACAAAGGTGCGGGAAATCCAGTGGATGGCGTGCTTGAATCGCGGCTACTACAGGCACGTGCGGACGCAGGAGGAAGTGCGCGAGCAAGTGCTCAAGTATATCCCAGTCGTGGCGCGTCCGCTGGTACTTCAGGGTGTGGTGCACCCGATCACGTGGACGCATGTTTACGCCGATGTCACGGTAGGAAGTTTCCAAACACTGCAGGAATTTTCCTTCCGATTCGATCCCTCTCGCGATCTCGCGTATCTCGTCCGGCAGTCAATTGGCAAACGCCGAATGAAGCTCTCGGCCAGGCTACTCGGCCGTCAGAGCTCTGACAAATGCGTGAGGGGCGTGCTTCGTAACGAGCTTGCGAATAGCCCGAATAATGCGACGTATATAATTGTAATTGTCAACGGATCTCAAGTATGACGCGAGCAAGTTCCGCGTTGGAAATCCGATTGAGAATTTACTAGTCGCGATTATAATCGCAATTTCAGTGGTGATGATGGTGGACCCGTGCATCTGCAAAAATTGCAGATGCACATCGTGACCCTTCTTTTCGCTCCTTCTTTCTTCGCAAGAAATTGGCACGATAACGGAAACACTAATAATGATTAATTATCGTATAGCGAAAGAAGGCGATACTGGCGATTCCCCGGCGGTGGCGCCGAAATTCCGCCGCCGATTTCTGTTTTTTCTCTTTTTTTTATCCTTTGAAGTTACGAGATCGCGTGCAGCCGTACAAAGTTCCCTGGTCAGGTTCCCTGACTGTCCCCCCCCCTCCGCCCCCGACAGTGTGCAGGCCTTTGAAATTTTGTGAAATTGTTATCGTAACATAGGAGGAAACGTAGAGCGGCTCGTTTTTTGCATCAATTTGATGATAGTGATGGATCAATGTAAACATACAATGTGACATTTCAATCAGAATCCGGCACTTGCCGCTTGGCTGTGGGTGGTGATGAAGCAAGAGGAGCAAAATTCGCGACTGCAAAAGCACCTGAAGGGAAAACGACTGGGTGTACGAGTTAACGAGGACGCGATCTACATACAGAAGGTGGAGAACGTGCGTCAAGAGCGTGTCCGCTCTCACTGTCTCTCCCAGGCTTTTCAGACGCTCTGTCTGGATTTGTATCGCACCCTTCCCCGCCCCCCCAACGCCAACCCCTTCAATCCACGTGCTCTTCGGCGCACGTGGTTGCTGCAGTGTTGCAATCCTTTGAATGCCAAACGGAGTTTCGAATCGAGTCGCAACATCGGGATATTATAGCGATCGACGCGAGCTCTTGAGAAAAAGCGTTCTCGCCGACGCAAAAAGTTCAAGTTTTCTCTTTTCTCACCGAATGAGACACACACTCCTTCTCTCGCTTCTTTTGGCTCGCTTCTCTTTGAGAAACAGAAGCGAATTTCCTCTCGAGAGACGAGGTTAGGACGACACAAATTTATTAGGACGAATTGATTTTAAAGTCATACCCGATCGCCGATTCTCTTGACGACTCCGCTTGGTAACCTATTTGAGATCAAGCGAGGTAATTGGAAAATGTCTTGCCGCAATTAACACTTCGTTCGATTTTGAGATCGGAAGCTTTCCGGTAGCCGGAAAAGTTGGTCGCTAAAGTAATATAACGCGTTAAAGTGTCAACTCAGATAGAACGACCATATATCCTCCTTGGCAAACAATTAATCGCTAGGCATTAGGTCAGAACGCTAATCACATTTATTAGCCGATTACTGGCCAGTCATGTGTTGTCATTAGCCTGCTGAGGACTTGATCACCTGAGAATTAGTAGGTGTAGTACCGCTGTTCTTTGGTTGGGCTTCGTCGACACGTGTCCCTTTCATTTTATTCCTGCCGCAAGTATTCCTGTCGCATTTTGCGTTAGATTGGTTGGTTGGCTGTGTTGCGCAAAGTGTGCGGAATCAAGCGGAGACGAGCAGAGACTCGATTACTCTGCGGGAGTAATGTTGGATGGCGTGAGATTATTTCTTAAAATTTCAAATTATGATGGATGAACAATCATCCGTCGGCAGTGACATTCTTTCGGCAAAGTAAGATCGCCGACGCAGAGCTTGTCAGTGTGAAATGTGTGTCGTAACGCGAATTAATAGTGATGATGATGATGATGATGATGATGATGATGATAATAATAGATAATGACAAGAGTAATGATAATAATGGTGTTTAACAGCGGTGCATGCTGAGAAATTCCCGTCGGATTCCCGTGAGAAACGTGCGAGTCTCTCGATCCCTTGATCAAGTCGACTCTAATCGGCTTAATTCGGAGTGATCCGAATAATACTTGAAAGATCTCTTCTCAATAAATAAGCCTCACACTAGATGAAAATCGCCGTCTGCAAACTTTATTACATGTTGAGTTAAAATAGAAACAGATATGTATATATATATATATATCTCTTTTTCTCGGGAGATATACACTATACATTATCCCGAAGTTCTTCTTTGAAGAAAAAAAAAGAAAGAAAAAAAGAAAGAGAAGTATAGGTGTCGCGTATGTATCGCGTGTATGTGTGAGGAAACTATCGTACACAGCGCAATCGATTCTCGCGAGATTCCGTTTGATTCCGCAGCACGCTCCGTGTAGTACATCGCATCGCGATGTTGAGATGACCGAAGGCGAATTAAACAGCGGTCTCGCCCCTTGCTCGTGCATCTACCTGCCACAGCGACTCCGTTTAACTGAGATCGCGAACGCAAGCACGCAAGCCGCGCGCGCGCGTTTTGCTCGCCGGGCTTTTCGCGATGCGATTGCACTCTCGCGTCATTCCCGCGATAAATCCCTCTTCATAGTTGGACAAGAACGAGAACATCGAGGAGGATCCGTCCACTCTCAACACCACCGCATGGCAGGAGTACACACTGCTGACCTCCGTTGGTACACCCGTGTTCGACCGCAAGGGCAATCGCAACAATGAGACGCGCATGGCCAATCTGCTCGGCGTGGCCGGCACGGACGTGCCGATCGAGGATATCCGCAAGCTCACGTTGCCGTACAAGCTCGGCGTGAACGGTTACGCTTTCATTGTATCGAACAACGGCTACGTGATACTGCATCCGGACCTTAGACCTGTCTACAAAGGCCGGCTCAAATTGAACTATAACAGCGTCGATCTCACCGAGGTGGAGATACTCGACGATGGCCGCGGGCCGAGGTAACGTCAGCACGCTTTCAACACGCGTCGTTATTGAACACGTGACAGTGAACACCCGTAGTAGAAGTATGCGAGTTACATCTTACGTGGCTGATTTTGAATCTATTTTCTGCCTCAGTATATCGCGTTCATTTTCGAGCAGAGCATTTGCTACTGTTTCAAAATATGCGCAGAAATCCGGGTCCGGAGATACTGGAGCTGCGGTCGGCACTGGTCGATCACAAACGAGGTAGTATGAGGAACATCCCCGTGAAACTGCACTACGACGACAATCGTCGTGTGACGCTCGAAAGACGAGACTACTTTTACGCACCCTTGCCAGGGACACCGTTCGGCCTCGCAGTCGCCATCCCTCATTATGGAACAACGTGGATCAAGGTGGATCGAAACGTGAAAAGATTAAAAGATCGGGATGACGATCTTATCGTTTCTGTATCTTATAACTTGTCATCCTCTCTCTCTCTCTCTCTCTCTCTCTCTCTCTCTCTCTCTCTCTCTCTCTCTCTCTCTCTCTCTCTCTCTCTCTCTCTCTCTCTCTCTCGCAGCGTCAAAGTGATCGCACGTTGAATTCGTCCAGGTCGGTGACGAGATCCGCCGGAATCAGCACATGAACGTGAATGTGTCGGACTTCTTCAAGGGTGATCATTGGCGCGTGCATCCCAGTTGGGTATATTGTCGATACCATTATCTCGAGGGTCACCGGTTTGATAGCCCGGAGGATGAACTGCGCCACTTTCTGGCGTTGTTGAGTCGATCAGAATGGCGATGGGCTGAGCAATACGAGGCTTATCCGCCAGCGGACGAAAACGCCGACGGTGAGGACTTGGACGATGTCGACTGCGGCAGGCAAACGCTTTCGTACGAGGATTATTATTGCAACAAGGAGCTTATGCAGCTGTTGGTGTTTGACGCTAAGGCAACCAACAACAGCTTCCGCGGGGATTACATAGAGGATCTTCCAGCGAGGGCGAAGGACTTGGCTCGGCTCTACGGTATTTTCCTGCGTTTCATTGCCACGCAGAGTGGCCTCACTAGATGGCATCATCTTCACACCAACGAGCTTCCCGACGCGGACGACGGGATTGTTTTCGGCGATCTGCACAGGCGAGCCGTCAATGAGCCTTGGTACAAGGGCGCGATATTTCAGAACGAGCTGGATCTGAACAGCATCTATTTGTCTGGTGAGAATCGCATCGATTGCTTCTCGTCGGATGATAATCTTTTCGTCTTCTTATTCGATTCTGATCCACCGTCGTCGTCGATGACGAAGAAGAGATCGTAGTCGTTCGCAGATCGTAATCATTTCATAAAGGAACGAGACATAGTTATAATTACATTTTAGTTTATTTTATCGACATTTTATCGACTTTCAACTGGCCGATACGTACGAATACCAATTTTTCAAACGCATGCGCAATCAACTACTACTACGCACTCACACACACACACACACATATCTTTATAACATATGTAAAAATATCTTATTAATGTGAGCCGCGTGACAGTTTGATAATAGCCGGATAATTGCCACTTGATATTCAACGTCGATAATCGGGAACTCTCGAGAGTATGATGAGACTCGGCGAAGATGATGAGAGTCGGCAATATTGAGAGAACGAAATTTCGCGTATTTTCTCGTAGTTCCGTGGGAAGCTGGCGCGGACGCAGTGGTGACGGCTTCCATGAGCCTGTCACCCAAGGACGGCGGTAAGAGGGCACCAGCGGCCGTCGTAGGCTTCCAAATGCCGATGACAGGTCTGTACAGGAGATTCATCGAACTCACCTCGGTGACAACGAATCCGCTGATGAACTGTTCCCATAATTGGATCGATTGCTACCTGCTAGATCAGAACGGCTATATAGTGATATCGGAAGCACATAATGATACCGGTCAATTTATGGGTACTCAGGAGGGCGCCGTCATGAAGTCCATGGTCGATCAGGGTCTTTATAATCCGGTCGAAATTTACGACTATCAAGCTTGGTGCCAGGAGATTGTAAGTACTAACGTTGAACGCTAATCCGATGTTGTTGACTCGAGCATCGAGTACGTCGAAAATTCCTCAACAAGAAAAAAACTTACTAGAAGAGAACAATTTACCAAATCCAACTAGCGAGAATTTTTTAAATCGCATCGAATTAAATGACATTAGCAACATAGTAGTAGATATCGTGATATAACCGAGAGAAGAAAAAAAAAGAAAAAAGATAAAGAAGAATATGTTTTCTTTGGCTCGGGGTAATAAGTTCTCAGTAAACACCAACCATATGTATATATATCAGTAACATAACAACTATGTTATAATTTTCCACTCAACAATATAAATGCAACATAATACATGTGATATGTAACAGTTATATCGCTGAATGGGAAATTATAATATTAATGTAATGTTATTATCAGTGTTATATCCTACTGGGTTATATCCTGAAAAAAGATTCCGCTTGTTGCGGAAGACATTGCTATTGAGAAATTGAGAAATTGGTAATTGCAACTCATCAGCCCCCCCGTGTATGGAATATTTTCTGTTATTGTGTAGTATCGTACACCAATATTACATCAGGTTTACAAGATGCTGAACTAATTGGGCCGTACGTGCGTGCGAACTGTAGAACGGAAACCTAGAACAAAAAGAAAGCAGTACTAGAAAAGTTAATGTCGACGTTCGAGCTATTTTCAAGACGTTTGTGTCTTATTTGTTCAACGACTCTTTCTCACACACACATACATACGTACCAGCTCATTTCCGATCTCATGGAAGAATGCGATTGTAACGAATGGATGCAAATTGTTTCAGCGAATCGACAATTCCGCCAATAGCCTGATGGAGCCGTTGCAATACGTCTGGGAGCTGCTGTTCTGGCTTATGCTGCGTCTGGCGTGGTTCTCGACTCAGTTCGTCAATCTTCCTGGCATCCATGGCAAGGTATATAGTGACGAGGACGCGCCTGATCCGCCGCCACCACCGGAGCCTTACCTCTATCATTATCCGTGCGATCAGAAGAGGACTCTCTACATGTTGAATGAGACTGTCGCTTCCAAAGGCGTCACCAATCACTCCGATTACCACTCCAGACCGTACTACGCTCAGAGAGTGAGTGTTTGTATCTTTTACATCGGCGATATTTCGGGATATCGTATTCGGGATCTGTTATGTGTCGATCGACACGTTGCGACTGCCGTTGCACGTTGTCGTATGTCGTACGTTGATATCCATTAATTTAATCTCACAGCTCGATCATTTAAATAAGCAGAGATGCGACGAAATAGATGCATGCGTGTATGTATTGGCATGCACGTGTTTTACCGCTTACGGGTCGACCGCACGTCTTGTATGTAAATTAATTAATGTGAATCAAGCGGTTTCCTTGGAGGAATGACTGCGATCCACAGGTAGCGCACACGAATCTGCTGTTGGTTGTTGTGGACAGCATGTATCCGACGTGCTACAGGAGATTGGAGGTAACACCCGTCAACATCGACCCTACTGAGTACACAAATGGCATGACTGAGAAACCTTGCCACAAGATTCCGCTAAATGCCCTGAAAAGGCGCCGGCTGAAGAGCTGTTTCACGGAACACTGTCTGGAGCACGAAATCGACGACTGCGGAGGAGCGTCCGGACTGACGATGTCTCTGACATCGTTGCTTTGCGTCGTTATCATCACGATTCTCTGCACCTTTCTGTGACGAACGATTATTGGTCGTTTTCGGAAAAAAAGAAACAAATACGCATGTATGTCTGTGTTTTGCAATAAAATAATATATACAATATATACAATAAATACAGTTGCGCATCTCTCTGTCTATAACTGCGTTTTAATTAATGAATAATGCAAAAAATACATAATCTCCCCGTATTTCCCCGATATCCACGAGTGGACAGAAATTCTTACCGATTGGCACATTTTTCGAGTCATGATGCAACGTTCCGGTAGATAAGTTACTTTACACCTTGCAAAGGTACGGGGTTAACATGATAAATGTATTTCTGTAAACTGTAAGTAATTTATTCAGATAGGTAGATGAAAATAGAGACAAAGTTGCTCGACTATACTAACACACAAATGGCGATTATCCTTATTTTTTCAGGAGACTCGAATCTATCGAACATACGTTAAAAGATAAACAGCTCTATCAATTGCGACCCGACTATCACGATGTGGCTGATTGCGCGTTCCGACATCCAAGTGCGCAAGCCTGCTCGGAAAATCGATAATGCTTGAAAACACGTATATGTCTCGAGTCAGCACTGTTGAACGAGTGCGCACGACGAAGACCGGGACGACGACGTCAACGTCGACGACGACGACGACGACGACGACTGCGACGACCGCGACGACGACGACAGCGACGACCGCGACAACGGCGACGACGACGACGACGACGACAACGACGACGACAGCGACGACGATTGCGACGACGACGAACGCGACGACGACGACGACGACGGCGACGACGACGGCGACGACGAGCGCGACGACGACGACGACGACGATTGCGGCGGTGGTGGCGGCGGCGGCGGTAGTGGCGGCGGCGGCGGCGGCGGCGGCGGTGGCGGCGGCGGCGGCGGTGGTGACGACGACGACGACGACGACGACGACGCCGACGACGACGACGCCGACGACGACGACGACGGCGACGACGACGACGACGACGACGACGACGCCGACGGCGACGGCGAGGGCGACGGCGACGGCGACGGCGACGACCGACGTCGATCACGACGGCGAACTGTTGTCCGAACACGAGCGACCGTGGTCCTTGATGTCAGACGCGAGTCTCAGTGTTGTTTACCGTGCCTTCGTGTGAACAGCAACCGCGGAGCAGCGGGAGCGGCGCCATAGCGGCCAATAGATCAGGGAAACGTTATGAGGCCTTGCTTCATACTCATCGTTGCCGTCTTGATCCTCATCGAGGCACCTAATCGTAGCGAACAGCGAATCTCCTTCAACACGTATGTATAGTGCGGACAGGTGTGTTATCTCGTAGCGATTCTCCAAACTTCCGATCCTTTTCCGTCTTCTTGCTGGTTTTTCTTGATACGTTGTGTCCAATAATAACAACAAGCGAGTTAATAGTTGTTGTTGTGTACACGATATTGATAAAGCAACGGGTGGGATTATTTAGGTCAATCATGAGGGATCGTGTCTCTCTCGACCGAAGCGTTGCAGTGATTCATGAGTGTGCCTGATGAAAGACGGACAACTTTTGAAGAAGTAGGGGAGAATTTCATAATTGAATTTATTCTGTATTGTCGAGTTCCGAGGCCGATTTTATTTCGTCGTTCCGAAGATGAGGATAAACGATTTTTCTTGGATTTATTTCGTCCGAGAAAGAATTGATTCGCACTTATATACACGTCATGCTTGCTGTAGATGACACGGATTTCTCTCGCGAATGAGATTACTGTTGTTTCGTCAAACCGCTGTCGCGCACACAATCAAATTATCCATGCCTTCGCGCAACATTGTCGTCGTCCTTCGGACGACGTCTTACGGACCGTATCGTCCTTTCTTCTTCTCTCTCGTTCTCTCGCGTTGTCGCGCGAGATTTCACGAAATGAACACCGCTGAACAGCTGCTGTTTTTGCTCGAGGCTAGTGTTATCTCCGTGAGAATAGAGAAAAGGGATGCATGATAGGAGGTGATGGTGCAGCAGTGCGGTGTAAACTTAATCACACTAGCGTGTAGGTAAGTGACCTACTTGTTTTAGACGTTGAAAAATGATGTTGCGCGCCATGTTGAAAATGTGCTCTAAATAATTATAAATAAGATTTAAAAGATTATAAAGAAGATAACGACAAGATGACGATTTTTCCAAGTTTTTGCCATGATTACTCCATTATTCCATTATCTTGTCATATGCACACGCACACGCACACGCAAAAAAAAAATTTTTCTTTTGTTCGTTTGTGTGGCAGAGTAAAGACATGGGCGCACAAGCTGGGCTTCGAATTGTCGCAGTTGGGCAAGTACGTGACGAACGTGGAGAAGTTCCACGAAAGTTACAAACAGGCGGATGTGACAGTACGTGACGGAAAATCCCTCGTCCGTGAGATCGCTAAGGACATCAAGGCCATGATGGAATCCAAGATCTCAGCTATCAAGGTGCGTTCTGTTCATTGCGTCAACGGTTGTCAGCTGTCAGTTGCGTGATGATTGGACTGGACAAACTGGGATTACGCGCGAATACAAATAGAATACGGCGATAGAAGCGTTCGCGTCGTCGAGGAGGTTCTCTCTCTCCTCTTCCTTGTTTTTTTGTTCTTCCTCTCACACATCAATCTGACGATATATATATATATATATATATATATATACAGCGACAAAAGTCAGCGAAACCGTTTTTGTTCACAGAGGATAATGGACGTGGCCGAGACATCGGCGCTGTCGGCACCCGACATGGACCCGCCGTCTACCTTCGAGTTTATCAACGCGAAAAACAACACCATCGAATTCGAGTACAGTTGCCATTTCGGCGGCAACGTAAATGTAAACATGTCCGCGGTGCATGTGCCCACCAATGTGTACGAGGGCGCCTCGAACGTCATTCGGGCGATCAAATGGTCCCAGGCCCTCGATCGCACCTTCATCAACAATTACGAGCAAGACCCGTCATTGTCGTGGCAGTACTTTGGCAGCGCGACCGGCTTCATGCGCCAATATCCCGCCATGAATTGGTACATGGAGCCTGTGGATCTGTTTGACTGCAGAACCAGAAGCTGGTACATCGAGGCGGCGACTAGTCCCAAGGATATTCTCATCCTGATGGACACTTCCGGCAGCATGACCGGTATACGCCGGGAGATCGCTAGGCACGTGATCAACAATATCCTCGATACACTCGGCAATAACGACTTCGTCAATATCATCACCTTCTCCAATGTGACCAAGGAGGTAAGCGTTGAGACCGCTCGGGGAAGTGACGAGTAATTTTGCAATAAATTGCTGCAATCGGCAATCTCGCGAATCTCGCTACTAATCGCAGGTGGTGCCGTGTTTCAATGACACCCTGGTTCAAGCGAATTTGGCAAACGTACGCGAGCTGAAGAGGGCCATTGCGAACCTCGAAACAGAGAGGATCGCCAACTTTTCCCTGGCTCTTACTACCGCCTTCGAGCTGCTCGAGTCGTTCCGCGCCGAGAAAGAGGGTGCCAGATGCAATCAAGCGATCATGCTGATCACCGACGGAGTCCCGTACAATTATAAAGAGATCTTTGAGGCGTACAATTGGAAGGACAACCCGGACGAGCCTCTGAAAGCCGATATGCCCGTCAGGATATTCACCTATCTGATCGGCCGTGAGGTCGCCGATGTGCGGGAAGTACAGTGGATGGCCTGCGCCAACAGAGGTTACTTCGTACATCTGTGCACCCCGGCGGAAGTCAGAGAGGAGGTCAGTTGAACGAACGAAAGAGTTGTTTTCGTGCAGAGAAGTTGGTTTAAGCAGATTTTACTTCCACAATTAATTGTTTTCCCGTTAATCTTCGACGGCGAGAGAGACGTGTTTTTTTTTTTCCTCGATGAGACAGAGACAGACAGACGGAGAGGGAGAGGGAGAGAGGGAGAGAGAGAGAGGGGGGAGAATTATATTTGACACTTGTCAGATTTCATGGATGATGAATGAAGTTTTACATTCGGTGAATACAGTGCAATTTCAAATCGTAATAATTTGAGAATGAATAATAAAGATCATAGTGTAATCAATTTCGCGCAAAAATTCAAGCTCAAGAGATTCCTTGCGAATCGGGTGAAAACCTTTCTGAGACCTTTCTGTATCGCGATGCTTCGAACGATGAATCTGACGTGAACATCTGACATCATCTAATCCTGAAATCCAAGAAATTGCCTTTTCCGAAATTGTCCAGGTGTTAAAATACGTGCCGGTGATGGCGAGACCTCTGGTTTTGGGCCGCACGGATCATCCTACCATCTGGACGCCCGTTTACGCCGATGTGACCGATCCGAAGATGACCGACTGGCTGTGGGAAGAGCGTGAGAGCGATAAGCAGGAGTACCGTTTTCTGCACCAGTACGAAAAGAAGTTGAACACGGAGGAACAGGACCGACGATTCGTGAAGAAGCCGAAGAGACGGCACGACCAGAGCAATGATTTGCAGAAGTACAAACTGATGACTTCGGTCAGCATGCCAGTGTTCGACCGACGCGAGAACGCGGTAAGACTTTCTCGTCCTATTGCCCCTTGTTGATCACGTGATAAAACAAACACATCGACAGTTAGCCGTCATGTGTCAGCCGACGATGTTACACACGTCCATGTATCATGTCTCTCGAGAACGACGCGACGGATTAATATAAATTCATCTTCTTCCTTCTCTTTCCGCGCGCGAGCAAAGAACTTTTTTAATTTCTTACCGATCGAATATCGCTTACCCGTTGTTTGCTTTCCCTCGGTTTGTTCTCCCTTGCTTTTTCTTTCTTTCTCTTTTTTTTTTCTTTCTTTTCCGTTCCTTTCGTTTCTCTCTCCTTTCGTTTCATGAATCTAAAGTTAAAATTATTTATTTGTCATACCTATCGAGAGTCAGTAGAAGACAGTAATGAACGACATTTTATTCGCCGTTGTACACAAGTTTTCAAGTCAATTCTCTCAATTACAGACGTAGACGTAGACGTAAACGTTGGACGAGCTGCGATATATCGGTATTTTCTCGCAAACACTCGCATAAAATCGCAAAGCTCGTGTGATAGATATCGACGTGAGAGTTGCGCAACCACAGCGACGAATTTTCGCTGAAAATTCTAACTCATCGCTCCGACATGTGCGAAATTTTGCGCTGGTATTATCTTATCGGCTTATCAAATCGGCATTGTGTCATCAGTGTGATCACCCATATATAATCGAACCATAATACATATTAGCGTCGGACAAGCGTGCAAATATTTCATATGTAACTGGACTTTTTTCTCACGAATCCCAGAAACGAGACAAAAACCCGTCGCGAATCACGTGGATTGCCCTCGGGGGTATATATTCACGCTGCACTTGCTTCGGTTTTAAGTCCCTCTTTGTCCACAGAACATCACAAGGCAGGTGCTGGTGAACGAAGCGTACTGGGTGACAGAGACAAGAGAGGTTGGCAGCTTCAAAACAAAAAACTCAAGCAACGTTGTTCTAATGCATAGTACATCCTGTACCTTTATCTTTCGTTTTCGCGCGCGACCGACGATCTACGACCTCATCTTCGCCATCACGATGTAGTTCTCGTTCAACGAATGTTGGTTCTTTTCTTGTTTTATCCATCGTTCATTGAATTCATCGTCGAGCTCAAAGAACCAAATCTCAAATGTCGGATGTCGGATGATTCTCTCAATTAATACAACACTCGCATAAAATCGTGTATTGCTATTAATCTTTCATTAATCTGTTTCCCTTCATTTTGCGACAAGCGAAAATATATTTTTCTCGGTATAGTGGGCTATATTACTCGTCTGCGTGATATGAACATACCACACATACCACATGCACGCGCGCGCGCGCGCACACACGCACGCGCACACACGCACGCACACACACACACACACACACACACACACACACACACACACACATGAAAGATGAAGATATACTATCTAAAAAAATAATATATCGAGATGTAAAATGTGTACCTGCCGCTGTTTAAACGGAATTTTGAAATGGTCATTCCGTGGACAGAGCGTAAACGTTGAAGCGAAGATGCTGGAACGAGGTCGTAGACGCGCGATCTCTTAGGTCCACACTTAGGTTCGACTTTCTCTGGTATCTTTTGTTAATCTAACACTAGTACATGGGATTATTTCAAGTCATTAGGTAGGTTTAGGTACGTTAGTCTACCCTGTGTCCTGTCGAGACGAGTAGAAAAAGATAAACTCTGCCCGCCTGTTGGATTGCATACGGCGAAACAATCCTCGTAAAACATTGATCCTTAGAGATAACATTTTGCAGTGACTACATAACTATGTATCTTTAATGCGCGAGAGAGAAGTACTAATCGGAAGAACGAGTGAGTGGACGTTAATTCGTAAAATACACAACAGAAAGAGAAAGGAAAGAGAAAATACGATAAAAAAGAGACAGTAAAAAAGAGAGATAAGGAAGAAAGTAAAGCCTCCAAGCCTCTCCGGTTGATCCCCAAAAAAGATCTTTCTTCCTCGCTTTCTCTCTCTCTCTCTCTCTCTCTCTCTCTCTCTCTCTCTCTCTCTCTCTTTCTTCC